AGGTGATCGAGCCTAGAGTCACTCTGAGAACCAGTCAGTAGCAACACGGTCAATGAAACTGCCACAGGAGAGGCTCTGTCACCTCTGTGGGTCGTTTTTTGTTCAGAGAAACCCAAGTCAGAAACACATACTTAGTAGGACACTAAGGCTGAAAACCAGCTCCGGGATTAGAGGCCTTCTTGGCCTTCTTTCTGCCTGCGTGCTGCAGGGATGGTGGTTTCTCAAACGATATTCCATGGAGCAGCCAAAGGACAATGTACAGCTAAGGATCTGAGAGTGGGTGTCAATTAGATCCACTTTTATATTTCATGTTACAGTTTCAGTAAGATTTTCAACTTAAAATATGAGCTTTGCTATTTTTCAGTGGGCTGGGGGAGATGACTGTGGAGGAGCATCTCCCATGAAAGTGTGAGGACCTGAGTCTGAATTCCCCAGTACCTACATAAATGGGGGGGGGGGGGGGGGGGGGGGGTATGGTGGCCTTTTCTATAATCCCAACACACAGGTGGTAGAAACAAAGGATCCTGGAGCAAGCTGGATGTCTGGAGCAGCCTAATCCTCAGTGAGCTCTGGAGCTCTGCCTCAATGTAAGACGGAAAGAAGTTGTGGAAAACCCCAATGCCAACACCTACTTCCCCACACCCCCCAACATATACACACCACAAATACCCTTGTAAAAGAAGGGAGAGATGCCGTCAACTTGCCACAAGCTAGAGTTGTGAAAAAAAAAAAGGACAAAATGCCTCCATCGGATTGCCTTGTAAGCAACTCTAGGGGCATTTTCTTGATTAATAACCGATATGGATGAGGGAGGCCCAGTCCACTGGGAGCGGTGCCACCCCTGGGCAGGCGGTCCTGGGTTGTCTAAGAAAGCAGGCTGGCAAGCCAGTAAACAGTGTTCCTCCATGGCTCACCTTCAGTACCTGCCCCCGGGTTCCTGCCCTGAGTTTCATGAGTAATGGAGCGTGACCTGAGAGTTACAAGATGACATAAACTCTTCCCTCCCCAAGTTCCTGTCATCATGGTGTTTAATCACAGCAAACGAGAGGGCTGCTGGAAAACCAGTAACCTAAAGAATTCTCTCACACCCTGTTCTGTAAAGGAGAAGCCATTAGGCTTGGATGGAGAGATGGCTCGGTGGGTAAAGGGGATGGCCTGACGAGAGACCCATATGCTAGAAGGAGAGAACAGACACCTGAAAGTTGTCCTCGGACCTCCATGTCTCTGTCTCTGTCTCTCTGTCTCTGTCTCTCTCTCTGTCTCTCTCTCTCTCTCTCTCTCTCACACACACACACACACACACACACACACACACACACACACACACACGTTTAAAGCAAGTAGTCTCATGAGGAAGTATACTCATCAGGGACCCAGTTGTACACATGCCAATTTTGTCAACTCTGGGAAGATAAGGAAATGAGACCCTGGTTTTAGTATTCACAGGAGGTGCACCCCCTTCTCCCAAACACACATCCCACTCTGGTTTCTGGGTATATGGAGACATGGTGAGCAGCCTGGAAAAAAGCATTGCCAATGAGAACAGACCAGTGGTGGCCAAGTCATCTGTCACCTTCTCCAACAAGCCTCCTACATCTTTCTCAAGGAAAACACAATAGCGCATGGAATTTTGGCTACTTCCTGCCACCCCCACTATATACCTGGAAGCTATTTACGTCATTTTCAAGATGACTTCAAGTTGTGCTCTGAGTTTAACTCATCAGTTATTAGGAGAGTTCAACCAGGACAATCAGCCTGTCCCTGTGGTGAACTCTGAAGATACCTGTCACTGTGTCTTCCCTGTGAGCTGCTGGATACGGGAGCCCAGCCAAGAGAGCGGAGACAAGACTATGAGACCACCTTCCCGCTCCAAGATCTGCGACACAAACCCATGTTCTGCTGGTGTCCAGTGAAGCAACATAACACTAAAATGTCCCTGGGTCACACGGCTAGCAAGCAGATAGACCAACAGCCAATCTTTTTCCTCCTTGACTGTGCTGAGGCCCTTAGATCAGTGACAAGGCACCACCATCCACTAAGTTACTGGTGACCACCAGTGTCTACTCCAAATTACCTCCATAGATCAGCTCAATGGTGCAATGTAGGCACTTAGTGGAAGGTCTGTGTGTCCAGCTCCAGGGACCAAGGGGTGGCCACATTCTACAGTATGCTGGCATGAAGCCTTCGGCTAGTTTAGGATTCACAAAGAGCCGAGTTTAATCTTTTCTTAGCTCTTTATGAGGCTTGGTAGCTTCTGTCAAGTCAATTAGGAACTTGACCTATTGAACCATAATTTCTTCCATAATTTTTTTCTTGAAATCAGAACTTGTGGGCTTCCATGAAAGACCACAGAAGGCTCCGCATCAGAATTAAACATTTGTCCTTGAAATCCCAGACACTGAAGGTCATTCTTCGGGAATGTGGTCATGGTGCTCCCTCCATATCAAATCGTGGCTCTTTCTGCTAACAGCCAACAGTGCCCTACATCTCAGAGTCCCATTTACATGGATAGTTCTGGGACAGGGGATTGGCTGCCAAGAGCCCACCGATGAGTGCCATGCCTGGAACATTTGCTTGGTATTAGCTGATGGAGAGAGACAGAGAGGGCTCCATTTCTTTTCCTTGTCTTTTTTTTTTTTTTTGGGGGGGGGGGGGGGACAGGTTTTCTCTGTATAGCCCTGGGTGTCCTGGAACTTGCTCGGTAGACCAGGCTGACCTCGAACTCAGAGATCTGCCTGCCTCTGCCTCCTGAGTGTTGGGATTAAAGGCATGTGTTACCACCGCCCCATGAGGACTCTTCCTTTCTTTCTTTCCTTCCTTCCTTCCTTCCTTTCCTTCCTTCCTTCCTTCCTTCCTTCCTTTCTTTCTATTTATTTTCCAGAGCTGAGGACCGAACCCAGGGCCTTGTGCTTGCTAGGCAAGCACTCTACCATTGAGCTAAATCCCAAACCCCAAGGACTCTATTTCGACAAGAGGAGTATGGAAGAAAAGAATGAAAGAAGCCACCAGAAGGCAGTGGCACTTCTTGATTCAAATGCTGAGCCTGCCTCCTTGTCCCTCCTGCCAAGTTGGATTGAAAGGGAGGAGAAAGCAGTCTTTTTTATTAAGAACAAATATATAAAAACAAGTATGTCTGTCTGAATACAGGTGTATGCATAATACCATGGCACATTTAATTTAAAGACAGTTTGAAAAGCCTCCAAGTGACTTCTCATACCTCAAGGGGATCCCTTCTGAGCCAGACTTTTTTTTTTTTTTTTTTTTTTAATCACCTTCTGAGGTTTCCATCCATCCCTGCCCAAACCCACCCCCACCCCACCCCCGGCCTACAGGGAACACATACATGGTGGAGAAATAGATTGTAACATCATAGATGGAAACATAAAATTGGTATCTATAAACTTCTTTGTACATCATTAATTCATTAGCCTAGAGAAACGAGAATCAGAGTGAGAACTTGAGCAAGCACTGGGGTAGTTACATCCACATAGAGAGTACAGCACCTTTGGTTAAAAAGCAGGATCTAGAAAGTTCCTTTAGCCTTCCAACTGCTCAGCCAGTGCAGCTCAAAGCCAGCCACCATCAGCCACACGTGCGAGCGAGCGAGCAAGCATGCTGCCCACTGCGGAGCGCACATCCTTCCTGCCCTGGTTCTGTGCCAGCTGGCCTGGCATGCATTTTTAACATTGATGGATTTGGGGAAGGGGTCCCAGTGTTTGGCACTAGGAAATGACACTGTTTTGGTGTTGAATAAAACCACAAATGTAATGGGGGGGGGGGGCTTGAGAATAGCAACAATATGATCCTAAATTAATTTTTACTATGAACCAAAGACCTTCCCAGAGGCTGTGGATTAGTGCTTTGAAGAGACGTAAAAGTCATGCACACTTTACTATAAACTCCGAAGCAGGAAAAGGAACTCGAAATTATCAGTGCCTTAATTGTTTAATCTTTCCTTATTACTGTGAAAGGCACATGGTTATAAATGAGGCACAAATAAAAAAGCTCTACATGAACCTGCACACGAGTTTGAGATTTTAGTTATCTCCAAGATCCATTGTGTTTTGCCTATGGCCGTATCTGCAGATCTCTTTATCTCTTTCTTCTCTGTATTTTTGAGATGGTATCTCGTTATGAATTTGTAGCAATCCTCCCTGCCTCTGCCTCCTACATACTGGGATCACCGGTATAAGCTACCAAGCCTGGTTTAAACTTCTCTACTAAAGAGACTTATTTAAAAAAAACAAAAACAAAACAAACCAGCATGTCAGACAATGTGGAGGACATCTGATGAAAATACTGAGCTCAAAGAGATGTATATGAAAATTTCTTAAAATTATTATTACTACTATTACTGTTGTTTGTTTTATGTGTATATGTGTTTTGGTGGCCGAGGCCAGAAAACGGCATCAGATCCCCTGGAACTGGAGTTGCAGATGGTCAGGAGCTGCCATATGGGTGCTGGGAATTGAACCTGTGTTCTCTGGGGGAGCAGCCAGTGCTCTTAACCACTGAGCCATCTCTCCAGTCCCATAAGTATTTTTTTAAATGCATTAAAAATACAAATTAGCGTCATTTCTAAATGTGTGTTATAAAGTCATTTCACAACAACTCTAGGGATGATTTCTTTCTTTTCTTTTTCTTTTTTTAAGTATATACCAACTGTTTTTTTCTGGGTGCAAATTGCTAGCCCAGTGCTACAGGGCAGTTATTAGATTTTTTTTTTTTTTAAATATTTGTTTCTGTGCTGAAGTTATCAAGACCAGCTCTCTGCTGCGATTGCGTTGTTACTGGGAACACACACACACACTCACACACACAGAGTTTAATGTGAGGCCAGTACAGAAACGGAGAGATTAGACACAAAGAAATGTAAACAGCCCTCACATGCTAGGAAGCTAGGTTACAAGAATCCCGGCACCAGGCATTCACCAGTCACCATGGAAAACAGGAAGTGAGGTGCATAGCAACCACAAGCCAAAAAGCAGAAAAGCGCATACCTTTAGCTTGGAATGAAAATCACGAGATTTCCTTCTGGCAAGAACCTGAATGTGACTAGACACCTGCAGGGTAGGGGAAGGGAGGAAAACAAAGGAAAAGCCTGTAACCATGGAGATGAAAAGCCCCCTACAACTGGGCAAGCCAGACGTACCTTAATGGCGGCTTGAATTTCTCGAACTTTCTTTCTTGCTAAGACCTGTATATGACTAGACACCTACATTTTTCGGGTTTATGCAGGGGGAGGAAAAACAAGAAAAAAAAACAAAAACAAAAAACAAACAAAAAAAAGGAAATCAAATATAAAATCGCTATTCTTTGGGAAGGGAGGGGTGGGGGAGGTTATTTGCATCTCAACGAAGCTCTGCGGTTAGGAACATACAGTCCCGGCCAGACACCAAGCCCCAGCACTGATCTAAAGCTTTACGGACAGGGTCCTCACTGCAGTGACTTGATTCAGAAGTTTGGGCAGGCTCACCTCCCATGTTCCCACCTGAAGAGACCACAGGTGAGTGCTGGGGGAAACCTCTATTTGGAGAGCCATGTGGGGGAGAGGAGGGGTGCTTTTTTATGAAATAAAAAAGGCGGGGGGTAGAGGTAAATGAAAATATTTACACCTTCTCGGTATCAGGAGGGAAAAATCCTCCTTTCTCAATTTAGAGCGGAGTGTCCATAAATTAGCGTGTTCTACAGAATCACAGCTGAGGCTGTGAGGGGGTTCTGAGCTCCTGGAGGACGCTGGATTCTGTGGCAAACACCGAAATAATACTGACACATAAATTAGATCTCCAAGAGAAATGAAACCTAGTTAGCAGAGCCTTTTTTTCCTCCCTTAAAATTTCTTTAATCCTTCTACTGTTCTGGGAATCGACTGGGTGCCAAGTGGATCTGCATATTATTACAAAACGAGATGTGTGAAGCCAGCCAGCCAGCCAGCCAGGCCAGCCAGTTAAAAATCTGGGTTGAAAACCACTCAACTTTGCTGAACACCACACTGGAGAGGTGTCGCCAGATATGGCCTACAGGCACCCTGAGGATGGAGCTAGGTGTGGAAACACTGGCAGGTAGGCCTCTGACACACACTGGGCAGGCAAACCAGCGTCTATTTCAGTGGGACTTGATTAAATTTTAAAAAGCCCCAAGTGAAGGGGTCACCAGGCAAGTGACCAGAGCTCACCGGCCAAAATCCAGTTCAGCTCTTGAGACCTGCTGTCTGCATTGGGAAGATTCTGAGCCCTCCCATTACAAGTTCAAAGACCTGGGCTTTCTGGCAGTCACCTCATTTCAAATTCTCCAGTGACTCTAACAACAGGACTCGGCATTATCAAAGATATTTTGGTGGTTAAATTTGTCTTTTTTTTTTTTTTTGAGTTTCAGTAATTCGCTTTCTTTCCGTTTCCAGAGAAGCAGGGGGTTCCCCCATCCTCTTCACCCCTCCATCTGGCTCCTGCTGGTCCTCATTTTCACCCAGACTCTTGTCTGATGCCCTGACTCAGTGAGGGCTGTGGCTGGATGCATCCCCAGCAGACAGCGCTGGCCCGCCTCTGCTGGTGGGAGGCCACTCCTTTCTGCTGACTCAGCAAGGGACCAGCACAGGCAGCCTTTCTGGGGGACAGCCCAGCCCCCCCCCCCATCCACACTCCAGAGGGGGAAGCTTTTTGGGAGGGGGCGGGCCCCTGCGGCCACTCAGCCTTAAAGAGACATGGGTGAGTTGGCCGCATTCAGGCTTCAGTTTTCATCCCCTCACCTCCCTTTAATTATTTTGAGATGAGGTCTCTCACTAGGTTGCCCAAGTGGTCTTGAACTCCTGGGCGCAAAAGATCCTGCAGTCTCAGACTCCCAAGTGGCTGGGATTAGAGGGATATTCTACCACATCTAGTGAGCTGCCGCTGCTGAACTCTGTGCCATGTCATTCCACATGGGTTAACATTAAAAAAAGTTTTTCCATTAGCAACCCACCCATCACATTTTTGTTTCCCTTCTTTTTCTAATACTAGAGACTGATCTCCCACCCATTCCAATTGTGAACTTGATCACATCAGAAATATGGGCTTTGTGTCAAAAAACAAAAAAAAAAACAACAACAACAAAAACAAAAAAAAACCAAAAAACCAGGGAAGGTAGAGCCCTGGCCAGAGTCAGAAGAGAATTCCCATTCCTGTTCTGCAGCGTATAAAAATTGTAACTGCTTTATAGTTACAGCAGCAGAGGCTGACAAAAAGCCGTTGCTAAAGAAGCCACAGTGCCCTGCAAGTGTATCGCTCAGCATCGTATTTAGGCCATTGCTAAAGGCCACTGGCGTGACTTCATTGAAAGCATGACAATTACATAATCGTTTCAGGATGTTAAAATGCACAGAACCTCCAAATCTCTTGGCTTGCCAGGGTTAAGTGCACCTGCAGCCTTCTGCAACTCTGGCAGATATTAGGGAGGTGGGAAAAAATGGCAGGATTGAAAACACCTTAGCAAGGGGAGCTTCAGATACTGGCTTGGCAGTAAACTATGCCATATGTGTATGACAGCACACGAGTGCACGCTCAGGCCACAGAAATGGTGAAGAGTGGGAAAAAGCCACTCCAGGACGCCTACAGGGTGGACTCCTTACAGGGCACTGGGCCTGGGGCTCCTAGAGCTGAAGCACAGCAGCCAAGGCAGCCCAATGTCTCCGGGCCATTCGCTGACATGCAAACCTTGCAGGCGGGGTACTGTACCTGCTTCCTGGTCCTTGTCTTCCCTGTCCTGAGTTTGATGTATCTGGCTATCAATTCATTTCTACCTGCAAGAAAGAAGAATTTATAGTAAGGTGGGCTACTTAAGGATAAATAAACAAAGCCCCTAAAAGCAGTGGTTCTCAATCTTCCTAATGCTGCGACCCTTTAATACAGTTCCCCATGTTGCTGTGACCCCAATCGTAAAATTATTTTGTTGCTACTTTGTAGCTGTAATTTTGATACTGTTATGAATCATAATGTAAATATCTGATATGCAGGATATCTGATAACGCAACCCCAGAGTGGTAGAGACCCATAGGTTGAGAAGCACTGCCCTAAAAAGTTAAGAATAGAAACACTATTCAAGAATTTTGAACTAGAGAGAGGCTGGAGAGATGGCTCAATGGTTAAAAGCAGTGGCTGCTCTCGCACAGGACCAAGGTTCAACTTCTAGCACCCACATGGTGGTTAACAACCATCTATAACCCCAGTTCCAGGGGATCTGGTGCCGCCTTCTGCTCTTCACAGACACTGCACACATGCAGTGCCCATACATAAATGCATACAGGCAGAACACTCATATACATCAAAGAAAAATAAACCCGAAGAGAAAAACTTTTGAATTGGGGTGGCTGGCAGGGTGCTTGCCTGGCCCTGGGCTAGCTCCCTAGACCATATAAATCAAGCATGGTGGTGCACACCTGTGATGCCAGTACTTGGGTAGTGGAGGCAGGAAGATCAGAAATTTCAGATCAGCCTGGGCTAGATGAGACCTTGATTTTTTTTCTGATTATTTAATTGGAGCTTTTTCAGTTTATTCCTGACAGAAAAACAGCACACTGTCTGAGAAAAATGTTTACTAAGGGAAACTGAGCTCTTCCTTTCAGAAGAGTATGCAGACCTAGAAGGATCATGCTCTGAAGTTGAGTGTGCCCATCACCTTGTCAGCCTAGACACTCACTCTGCTGATGCTGTCTACCACCACTAATTTATTATTTTTATTTTATGTATATGGGTGTTGTGTTTTTGATGGGGGTAGGTGTTTTTGAGACAGAGTTTCTCTGTGTAACAGCCCCAGCTATCCTGGAACTTGCTTTGTAGATCAGGCTGGCCTCGAACTCACAGATACATGACTGCCTCAGTCTCCCGAGTGCTCAGCAATGTATGTGGGTGTTTTATCTGCATGTCTGTGCATCATGTGCATGCCTGGTGCCCACTAAGGTCAGAAAAGCATGTCAGATCCTCCAGGACTGAAGTTATAGATGGTTGTAAGCCACCATGTGAAGGTGTTCCTCAGTTACACCCCTCATCCTGTTCCCCCTCCTTTCAGAACTGCTGGTATTTTTCAAACCCCTAATATAAAATTTTCCATTTATTTCTATTCCCATTTCACCCCATTAAATTGAGCCTATCATTCCAGCCTGTCGAAATCTTTTCAGATCCCAACTCTGCAACTGAATGTACCTTTTCCAGAGCATTTAGAGAAGGGCTTCTGAATTCAGTTGGGGAGGGGGCGGGGGGGGGTGATTCTGTGAGCATCCCCTTTCAAACTTCTCGCTGCCAATATCTCCTGTAGTGTCATTGGGCCTACTTGTCCATCTCTAAGAAGGCTGTGCAGATTTTGCAATTTGTCATAAAGGCTCACTGACAGCCGAGCCCAGCCAGGAGTGCCTAATTACCAGAAACCAGACCTGAATGACAATGTCCACAGATCAGCCGAGTACCCTCCAGCCCAGGGCCCTCTCTGGGCAGTCATTCAGGGCTGTTTGAGCGGCCAGGGCTCTGTGCAACATGCAATTTCGCCTGGACCTTGTCCAGGTGGCACAGGAGAGGCTCTTGCCCCAAACTTGCTTATTTTCTGTGAATACAGAAAGATGCCTAGGAGATGCAGCATGACCCTGACATAACGGTTTTCGAGTTCTCGTAGCATCAGTTTGAAGGAGTAAGGTGGCTATCTAGGACAGCCACAAGCACCCATGAAAATGGCACTGTGCTTTAATCCTGCTGCAAAGTGACTCTAAAGGCCACTTCTCCATCAGGTCCTTTCTGCAGGGATGTGCTATGCTCGCCTCTCTGGTTATTTCACTAAAGGTTTAGTTTAAGGCAGATGTGTGTGGGACCAACCCGCTTACACAGAGATCTGGGTGGGGGACCAGCCCGCTTATACAGAGATCTGCCATTAAAATAAGAAGAGGAGAGCCTATCTTACTGTCACATCATTTTCCAGCGATGAACAAGACCACTTGGGGGGGGGGGGGGGCGTTGATTTTTCAAGACAAAGTCTCTCTGTGTAGCCCTGGCTGTCCTGGAACTCACTCTGTAGACCAGATGTCCCTGAACTCAGAAGAGATCCTCCTGCCTCTGCCTCTTATGTGCTGGGATTAAAGGTGTGCACCACCATGCCAGCTAACAAGACCACTGGATAAAGCCTGGGTTATTTTCTTTCATGCTCTGCTCAGAATTATTTCTGTCTTTTAGATATTGAAACTGTTTTAACATATGCAGTGTGTCTTCCCTAAGATAACACGTAGATCTGCCTGAGCAATTCTCTTGCAAGCAATGTCCTAATATGGTTAGTAAACTTCTCATGTGATTTCAACCCTTTCTGCCTAACTCAATTACTGTACTGCATGGTTTCATTTGGAAGTACAGGCTAACCTATTACCTGGATCAAATTATTTTAAATAATTCTTTAAAAATAGCAAATAGAAATCCTTTAAACCAAAATAGAAACCGTATGGTTGAGTCTATTAAAATATTTTCTACATTTATTCCTAAATCTTGCCTGAATTAAAATAATCTGACTTAGGAAACAAGAGTGGCATTCCAACTGTCTGGATTTCTGTGACCCTGACAGGATACCCTGAGTGCTACTTCTATTTCCTTTGTGTGAGAGCATGTGTGTATATGTGCGTGCAAGAGCGTGTACGTGTGTGTGTGTGTGTGCGCGTGCGCGCGCACCCATGATTCAAGTGTCTGTATTTAGAAGCCAGAGAAGACTGTTTTCATATTGCAGTAGCCCAGTCTCCTTTACTGCCTTGAGACAGGGAGGGTCTCTCATTAGACCTGAACTCAGCTCAGCATTTATCTTCTAGGCTAACTTGACAGCAAGTCCCAACAGTCCCCCTGTGTCTGTTCCACTCTACCCGAAAAATCTGGTTTTGCTTTTTTTTAAGTATGGGTTCTGGGGATCCAATCAACCCAGTTCCCGGTGCTTGCTTTTACCGACGAAGCCATCACCATAGTCCCCCACTTACACTTCTCTCAAAGCACAGTGTCTATAAAGCCCATCACCCCTCAACTGAACTGTGTAAGTTTCCTATTCAAGAGCTGGGACAGACACCACAACAATCCAGCAAAGCTGTAACTGGGAGGGCGCCAGGCTGCACTCCAGGGCCTCGCTGAGCATCCACAATCAGAACACTGGCCGTTAGAAATGTTCACTCTTAGCCGGGCGGTGGTGGCACATGCAGGCGGATATCTGTGAGTTTGAGGCCAGCCTTGTCTACAGAGCAAGTTCCAGGACAGGCTCCAAAGATACACAGAGAAACCTTGTCTCGAAAAACCAAAAAGAAAAAGAAATGTTCACTCTTGCTCCTCCAGTTCTTCTGTGCTTTCTTTTCCATGAACATTACATTGTAAAATAGACTTCAACAAGGTAAACTCAGTTTTACATCATCTCCCCACACAGTTTCTACACATTATCTGAAACAACTGTGGTTTTGGATTGTGAATTTTCCTGAGATTTTTGGAATATCTACATATATAAACAGGTTATCTTGTGGGCAGGACCCATATCTAGACATGGAATTCATGTATGTTTAAAATAAATAAGGCCTTTATCAACTAGCCTATAGGAAACATAACATTTAAAACACACAGACACACGCACGCACAACAAGGTTTAACTACAACCTGTCACATGAGGTCAGACCTGGAATTTTCCACTAAGTTTCAAATGCACTCCAGATTTCTGTATTAGGGATAGTCAGGCTATATTTAATCTTCCTATTTGTTTAGGTTTTTTGAGACAGGGTCTCATGTGGCCCAGGAAGATGACCTTGAACTCCTAAACCTCCTTCTCCACCTTCCAACAGCTGAGCTTGCAGGTGTGTGCAATACCTCGGGCATGCAGTATCACAGGTGTGTGCACCATCACAGGTGTGTGCAGTACCACAGATGCTCACTTTCCTGTCCCTAGCCACCAAGACCTGCCATGTTGTTGTAAGGTAAAGGCATCTAAAGCTTCTCTGGAACATATCATTACCTGGAGTGAAAAGGCCAGTCTGGCAGGCTGACCACTATCGCCAGATAAAAGTTTATCTCTGAAGAAGCAGGATCCTGGGACTCTTGAAAACCACACTGGCTGCCTCAGACCCACTGAGCTTGCTAAGCCCACTCCCTGGGCTTGCCATCAGAAGCTGGGAGGCCGCAGGCCACACAGGTCCCACTTGGCATTCCTGACACATCCCTTCTCAAGAGCATTGTCACGTTTCATTACTAAATGTCACCTCATGGCAGAACTCCAACACCCTCTCTTTGGTCTGAGACCTCGTGACCCCGGGTGTTTCTCTCACAGGCAGGAGGCCAGGGTCACAAACCACACAGCCTGGACTACTTACTTAGCCTACCATGCTACCCTCCCCAGACCTCAGATGTCTGAACTTAATGGTTGACAGAAGGCCTGCTCTCTGGCTTTTCCTGCCCATAGCACAGTGTACCTTCTTGCTAAGGGACAAGATAGAACTCACTGAAAAGCACAGAGTTCGAACTGGACTTCTAAACCCAGAGGAGACTGGTTAACATTGTTGTGGGCTGTATATGTGAAGGAAAGTGGCCTCAAGGTCGTGTTTGAGGCTCAGCAAATTCTGGGTCTGTGGCTACAAATTGTAGCCCAGAGACACTCAGCTTTAACAGAGTAAGAGCCACTTTGTTATTGAATGGAGTCAGAGTGCCGGAGAGGGGGAGAATAGGATGTCCCTGCTACAGCCAGTATAAAGAAACTCAGGCAGGGCTCCCAGGCTTTCAGAAGTATGGAAAGGGGTCAGGCCCTACTAGAATAGAA